TCGTGTAGGTGAAACAATTGACTGACGATTGCATTTTACGTGTTCAGGTGGTACCTGAGAAAACAAAAGAAAGTCCTGGTGGCCCATGGCAGTTCGTTGGCTTGTTGCCTCTTTTTGATCCTCCAAGGCATGACAGCGCAGAAACCATCAGAAGAGCTCTAGAGCTCGGTGTCAATGTCAAGATGATTACTGGTAATTGGTTTACTCTGTTAAACGCCTTGCCACTTTCTTCTATTTCCTCATCTCTCCCTTTCATGGGATGATTTAGGTGATCAACTTGCTATCGGCAAGGAGACTGGTCGCAGACTTGGAATGGGAACAAACATGTACCCATCTGCATCTTTGCTTGGCCAAGACAAAGACCCAAGCATTGCTTCCATTCCTGTAGAAGAGTTGATCGAGAAGGCAGATGGGTTTGCCGGTGTCTTCCCGGGTTAGTACATTGCTGGTTTACGTCTTGACATAACTCTTAACGTTAAAGCACAACTGTTCTTTAACACCAACTTTCCGAATTTTTTTTTCAGAGCACAAATATGAAATCGTGAAGAAGTTGCAAGAGAGGAAGCATATTTGTGGTATGACTGGTGACGGTGTGAATGACGCTCCTGCACTGAAGAAGGCCGACATTGGTATTGCTGTGGCTGATGCTACAGATGCTGCGAGAAGTGCCTCTGACATTGTTCTCACGGAGCCTGGACTCAGTGTCATTATCAGTGCTGTGCTGACCAGCCGAGCTATTTTCCAGAGAATGAAGAACTACACAGTGAGTGCTTTATCTCTTTACCCGAGTCCTTACCTATTTCCCGTGTTTTGAAAGGTTTAACCTCCGAAACCCTCTGTTGTTCTTTCCAGATTTATGCAGTTTCAATCACCATCCGTATTGTGGTAAGTGAATGTTCATAGAATTGGGAGCGTATTAAAAATATCCTTTAAATCAAGCATTATGCAATCTCTTAATCCTGTTTTTCCCCACTTCCAAAATTCTGCAGTTTGGCTTCATGTTCGTTGCTCTGATATGGAAGTTCGATTTTTCACCATTCATGGTTTTGATCATTGCTATTCTGAACGACGGTGAGTTTTTTCTTTTCTTTTGTATTATCATCCATAACAACCTTTCTGCGATTGCTTGTCTAAGCAAAGCATTGATGTCAAACTGTTACTTCACCAGGTACCATCATGACAATATCAAAGGACAGGGTCAAGCCGTCCCCCACACCAGATAGCTGGAAACTGAATGAGATCTTTGCCACCGGAGTTGTTCTCGGAGGCTATATGGCCTTGATGACGGTCATATTCTTCTGGGGTGCTTACGAGACTGATGTCTTCCCGGTATCTAATTTCTCTCGTTTCCCCTATTAAAAAGCTCAATCGTTTTTTATTCCACCTTCTCTTCAGAAATGGAGTATAACTCTGTTTTTTTTTATGCCCCCGATACAGAGAATGTTCGGCGTGAGGGACCTGAGAGGCAGAGAACATGAGATGATGGCTGCACTCTACCTACAAGTCAGTATCGTGAGCCAGGCTCTTATTTTTGTCACCCGGTCCCGAAGCTGGTCTTTTGTTGAACGCCCTGGACTGCTATTGGTTACAGCCTTTATACTTGCACAACTGGTAAGCTCCCCTATATAATCAACCCCCAATTCTTTTACCGCAAGAAAAGGGTACACAACTCTTTACTGAAAATAGATAAGATCGGGTTTTCTAGCACTGAAATATGGAGATGGTTAGGACATGTACTAGGGTGATGGACTCTGTCAAAGTGACTGAAACTCGATGCAGGTTGCCACGGTGATAGCTGTATATGCGAACTGGAGTTTTGCGAGAATAAAGGGAATAGGGTGGGGATGGGCAGGAGTCATCTGGCTCTACAGCATTGTTTTCTACGTGCCATTGGACGTCATGAAGTTCGGCATCCGTTACGTACTGAGCGGGAAGGCTTGGGTCAACCTGATCGATAACAAGGTACGGCCCTTATCCAGTCCAACATCTTCATAAGCTGAAAAAACACGGGGGAAAGACAGAAGCATTAACCAAAAACACTAAATACACATTTTGTCTGAATGAACAGACGGCATTCACGACCAAGAAAGACTACGGAAGAGAAGAGAGAGAAGCGCAGTGGGCGACGGCACAGAGGACATTACATGGACTGCAACCAAAGGAAGGTGCCAACATCTTCCCCGAGAAAGGCAGCTACCGAGAACTGTCTGAGATAGCCGAGCAAGCCAAGAGACGAGCTGAGATCGCCAGGTACTTTTTTTTTTTTGTAGAAAAAGAAAACAACCTTCATTCCTCAATGCCAATTGTAATTAAAAGGATCATATTCTGAAAACAACATATGAACAATAGCAAAAGAAACAAGAACTAGGATTGTAATTATCATTATATAATAAGAGTTTAAAAGGGTAATTAATAATTATAATTAAATGAACAGGTTGAGGGAGCTGCACACGCTGAAAGGGCACGTAGAATCGGTGGTGAAGCTGAAGGGTTTGGACATTGATGCTCCCGCTGGTCACTACACCGTTTAATAAGATACACACATTCTAAAATTTGGAACATGATGATGATGACGATGATGATGAACATACCCATGCCTTTCTAAGGGGGGAGACTGCAATCTTTTTTTTTTTTTTTGTAGTGTTGAATTCCTTTAAACTCCGATTTTCCTTTTTTTTTTACTAATCATTGTTATCAGTAGTTTATGTATTACAAAAAATGGGACAAATAAATCGAAATATATTTTTATATATTTCTCGGCATTTTTTTTTCAGTCTTCACGGTTCAGTTCGGATTTCCTTCTCCGACCAGACACTAACCGGATATTTTACTTCACGTGGATTATATATATACACTACTTTTCTTCGTGAAACTCTCCAGTCCAACCATTGGTAAAGCTCCATGTGGCATCCTCTTTATCACAATCGCAAAGCAGAGAAGAGAAAAGAATCGCCGACCAAAAAAAAAAAGAAATTCTTCCAAAAAATCCACAACAAACCGAGCAGGCAACAAAGCTCTTCAATTCCCATCAGTTTCCGTACGCATTACCGAAAATGTCCGTCGCCGCCATAGCTGCTTCCTCGCGACAGGGCTTCTTTCTCTTCAACTCCCTCAGTTTCAGACACAAACACTACTCTCCCAAGAGATTCACGCCCCCCAACTCAATCTCTTGTAATTACACAAACCACGAAGACGACGACACCTCTTCCAGGTTTCTTCTTTTTTGTCTATAGTTGTGTGAAGAATTCCTGTTACCAGATGCAGAGATTCTGATTTTTTTTTTTCTGTATTATGTTTAGAAATGAGAAGCAGCTGGCGAAACTGGCAATCGCGACGCTAGCGGTGGGAGTATTGGCGTTTGGATCAGTCGGCGACGCGTCTGCGGCCAAGACCGGCGGCAGAATCGGCGGTCAGGCGTTTCGCCCTTCATCTCCTCGCCCGTCCCCTCGAATCAGCAACAGATCGAGGTCACGGCTCACGACCCCATTTTCAGTTTCAGATTCTTTTTCTTTTTTAAATTAGGGATCTTTCAAAGATAATAGCCAAATGATTCTTAAACATTGAACAAAAAAAAGCACACTACTTTGGAAATTCACTTGCTTCAATCTCTGAAACAGGACCAACATATACGTGAATCCGCCGGTTGCGCCGCCCTTGGTCGGCGGTTACGGTTATGGCGTCTACGGCGGCTGGGGCTGGTCGCCGTTTTCCTTTTTCGCCCCTGGCCCGACCGTAGCCGTCGGCATAGGCGGCGGATTCGACCTCCTCGTCCTCTTCATGTTCTTCGGAGCAGCCGCAGCAGTCGCCAGAAGGTTTCTCCGATCACGAGATGAACCAGACGATGATGACTTCTAGTAAAGTTTAAATGTCATTTTGTTTGGAGTAAAAAGACAAACTTTGTAATATCGTTCATAGTGCAATATATTATGATCTGTGAAATCTTGTTTGTGCGAAAGAAAAGCAGGTAAATCAACAAGAATGATACCGAATTATAGGAAATGTTGTTGTTATTATTCCTCTTTCGAGAATGAGAGGTTCATCTTTGGAGTACGAGTTATACCCTAAATCACACAAATCTGCCTTCCGCCCACCAAAATTTTCAGAAAAATTTACAAACCCATTTGGTAAAAAAGCCTCAAAATTGTGGCCAAAGCGGCCGGTTCGAGAATTCAAGTTTCAACTACTCCCCACCGTTATGTCTTTTTTTTTTTGTAATCGGGTATTCTGAACCGAAATTCAGACTAATTCCGGAGCCGGAAACAAATTATGTGATTGGAATTACGCTTCTTTTCCCAATTTGAAATTCGAACTCGAGACAGGACATACGTTTTGTGTCTACGTTCCACCGGTTTGAACTACTCAAGTCACACAGTTATGTCTCATGGCTTGTTCTTGGTGGCGATGCGAAAACAGACCCCCCCGAGGATTACCCAAAAAAAAAAAGGAGCTAACTTTATATACGTGGACGATGTGAAACCTCGGGATAATCTCATTTTGTGGACAGATTCTTGAGCTCGCCTTTAAATATGTACTATAATCTTTTGTTTTGGTCTTGGACGAATGGACCATTAACCAATTGAAATCAGAAATTTCGAGTGTTACATGAAGATAACGAATCAGACGCAATAATTGGAGGAGAATAAAAGTTGATATATATATAACAAAAAAAAGTCAGTAAATTAATACAAGTAAAGATCGATGATTAGGTTCGGTTTATACTTAGTCCCTGAAAAAGCCAATGTGACCTCTTCTTCTCCTGATCCAACGTCGTACTCGAACTGCTCATCGGTGTGCTTTGTCCGCTACAATCTTTATTATTATTATTGTCAACATTATCCGATCTAAACGAGGTTGTCGAAGAGTTGTTGTTGTTCGTTGTCGTCGTTTCCCTCTGGTTATCCGACGAAGAGGACATTCCGATGCTCAAGGTCAGTTCTAGTTCTATCTCCTCCATCGTGTCCGATCCGTTCGTCCTCGTTGGTCGTCCGAGGTCGACGGCCGAGATTTCTGCAGCAGGGCTCTCGAGTTCGATGCCTGAGCCACTCCGGCTCCTATCTCTCCGCCTCTGATTGCTGCTGTTGTTGAAATCGAGCAAAAAGAAGCTGCTGCTGTTGTTGTGAGAAGCTGCTGGTTGTTGTGGGTACGTTAGGTTATCATCATGACTCCATTGTCGTCTTTGTTTGGTCTCCTTCTTCAGCTCCTCCATCATTACCTTCTGTACACCGTACACTCTGTGCAGCTCTCTTACCTGCCATTAATTTCCAGTTACGTACCATCCTTTTCCTTAGGGTTTATTAGATACAGAGTCCGAATTCTATTTACTGCGTGTACACACGTATACTATGTAATGTATATATATATAACTGTAGACGTGCATACCTGGTTCTTGAAAATGTCTTCTTGGGCTAGCATTGTGTTTCTGATGGAATTGAGGTTTTGGTTTTCAAGGAAACTATCCATGGACCTAACCCTACAACGACCCTCTCTTCTGCCTACGATCTTCGTTCCCATGCCTGAAAAAAATATTCACAAATATGTTATATAGTCATATATATATATATATACATATCGACGAGTAATATAGCCTCTCTGCATGAAATCGAATCAACCAAGAAGGAAGGAAGGAAGAACGAATACACTGAAAGACTGTAATGGAGAGAGATATTTGCATGAGAGGATGATGGAAACTATAGTCAGAGACCATTAAAATTGAAGTGAGAACCGAAGAAGATATTATATATAATTAATTAAATAGTAGTGGAAAATCTATAAATAAATAAAAAAGGACTTGGAGATTTTGGATCTTCTTTTTTCTGTTTACGTCTATGTGTTGGTGTCTTGTCCAAATGAATCGAGCTTGTTTTCTCTCCATATGTAGTGCCAATTTAGTACCCAAACCCAACATAAACATACTTGCCCCACCATTACATCACCCCAAGATATAAATTAATAAATAAATAAATAAATAAAAGATTCTAGAGTTGTGTTTCTTTTTTCGTAATATCTTATAATTTTTTTACGATTGAAAACCTTATCTCACAGCCCACCTTCCTGCGTAATAGTCGGCAAACCACGCAGAACATGTAAACCAGCCTCGGATTATCATTAACCACTAGGTTGGGGACTCCCCTAATATCTCACATTGATTAAAAACAAAGTAAATATGATTGTACATCGATCAATTTTGTGAGCCACAAGTTTGGCATATATATATATATATATCGTTATAGGTGTGGACGTAAAACAAGTTACAAAATTTACTACGTGAAATTATTTTTTTTCCCCGCGGGGTATATGGGTCAAATATTCCACGGGGGATCATATAGCCGGTCAATATGGACCATAAATGCTACCGTACGGCCTAGATAGCAGTGACTCTAAATTGAAATATGTGGTAATTAGAGGTTGTCATTGGCATGAGTCGACGAGGAAAAAGCTACTCTTAATTTCATATAATTTTTACTTTCTTTTTGGACACAATTATATCTAAAAAATAGATTATTGAACTAAGTACTTAAGAAAAAAAATGAAATGATTTTTAAACCTTATATATATATATATATGTGAATGGATAATAGATTTATAAATATGGATACATGGGGATGGTTCTCATTCTTACGTGAAGCAAAACAACAAAACTGTATCACCAAAGTTTCCACTAAGTTTTGTTTCTTCAAGAACAAATGTATGCAGACCCACGCACCTATAGATACACATACACACGCATATACACACGTGCCCACATACATATATACACAGACATGACAAGATGCACTGCTATCAAGAGGAACATGAGTAGATCACACCAAATATATATATATATATATATGTAATATGTACGGTTGAAAACAAAATTGATATAGAATGATATATGGTACACATATAAAAGTGAAGAGAGGAGAGAACGTGAAGCTTCACGTATGTTATTATATGTATATGCATATATATATATATATGTAAGTATCTTAATTCAGTTGCTTTATACGATTTGTGAGGACTACCATAATTATAATAATGGACTGACAAACCGACAAAAGAAAGAGAAAGAGGATCAGATTCATCGAAGGCCGAATTGATCATGAGATTATATATGAGGCCAAAAGCTGGTGTTTTTCATATGGCCACCGTTCAAAAGCAATGCACGGTCCAATAATTTTGACTCATAGACCATAATTAATAACCAGAGAAAGATTAATATCACTTTCCCTTTCAGAACTTTTATTGCTACTTTTTCATGGGAGCTTGACCGACTGATCTCCTTCCATGGAAAACAATGTCTTTTCTACAATTTTATGCTTGTAAGCTGGTGGGTCAATTAATCGATATACATATACATGTTTATATATATGTGTGTGTACATATATATATGGGGTGAATCACAAGAGACTCATGACTCATCTATGCGTGTGTTTTTGTAGTTTTGTGTATGAATCGATCTCTCCCTAGCTAGGGGAAAAAAGTTCATGAACTTAGAGAAAATAACAACTAAAAAAATATATTTATAAAAATTATTTCTACGATGAAGATGATGATTACCTGGAAGGAAGTGCGACCAAACTGTGATTCTCCTCCCAGGAAGCTCATGCCATAAAGCTCACCCCCCTTCAAGACTCATGACTACACACACACACACACACACACACATATATACATATATATATCGTATGTATCTCTCTCGCTTTGCTGCAAAGCAGAAGCTATATATATGTACCGAGAAAGAAAATAGCAGAAATACTAAGGAATAATTAAGCCGATTTTTTACCCAAAAAAAAAATTAAGCCGATTCGATAGGATTAAAGCCCATGAGAGAGAGAGAGAGGGAGGGTAATCTAAGGCTAAGCAGAGGACAAGTGCTTAAAATTAATAAGCGTAATCAAGAGATTTAATTAATACTTATAATAATTTAGAAAGGGCATTTTGACAGGCTGTGGAGGAAAAAGCTGAGCTTCATTATTCTCACTCCAAATCACAGACAAAACAAGATTTTCTTTTCCAATTACACACACACACACACGCATATATATATATATATATATATATGTGTGTGTGTGCGCGCGCGCATACATATAAATATGCGCGCGTATTTTAAATTTTAAAGTAAAAAAAAAAACAAAGATAACTTTTAAATTTTCATCATCTCTTTAGTGGAAGGTTGATAAAATTGGAATACTACAGAAAGTAAAAAATAAATAAAATACGCCATCTACGCGGAAGTAAATGATAAAAAAATTACAAAAAATTGACCCAAGAAATACAAGAAGTTTATTCCATTTATTTATTTTTTTGCTTTATGATTTATCTCACTGTAACACATATATAATCTTAGAACGTTATGAAAAAGATCTGGATAATTTGGTTGGCAATTCTCTATTATGCATGGCATAATCTTATATGTGTGCGTGTATAATAAATGAGCGTATATATATACACTGCATGTACGTACATTATACCTAGGCTGGGATCAGATCAAGGGGATTCGGACAAAAGATGAACAATAAAAATAAGAACAAATGTGGGCTATGAACAATATATTCCAGACAAATCCTCACTGGACTGATCATCATCATCAAGATATATGCATGAACCATAAAAAGGTGAAACCATATACAATAATATATATATATATATATATTATTAAAACAACCAATTGAAGCCAACCTTTCTACCTTTCTTTAATTAGCTGATTTTATTTTGCATTATTTTGGAAATTCTAATTATTCTCCTTTTATTATATTTGAAAATAACACACCCACCCCCACACACAATAAAAGGTTAGAAAATTAGGGTTTAAAAGGAGGAGGAAGCACGCGTTGTAGCCTTTCTAACCTACACACACTTCTCCCTTTCTTTATGTGGACCCTCCTTTTTTCCCACTATTTTTCTTATACTCACACATATTATATTTATATATATGCATTTTAGTATATTGCATACACATCTGTGGAATACATATATCCTATAACTGACCTATGCATAACTTGGCAGAGAATCTTGTGCATATGTAATATAGTAAGTTACATGATTTTTAATTCGAATATATTTCCTTGCATCAGTTAAGAGAGAGAGAGAGGTGTATATATATATGATATTTTTGTTTATATATTTATTTTAGAAATCGCTTCTGTCCAAAGAAAAAGAGTATATATATATATATAAAACTTTCCATGGAAGTCCGTCGAAGGCCGAATTAAGGGGGCAAGGGAAAACCATAGAAATGGAATTTAAGTTTCATTGCAAAGATTCGTTATATGGAGGCGTAACAAAATAAAAATTAAAGGGCTTTGTGTACGCACCCACCGAGCACATGCTTTTTAAGTAATTGGACTATCGAGATTTAAATAAAAAAAGACATTTAAATTATTAATTATAATTTTAAAAAAATAATGAAGAGGCTTTGTCTTCTACATGTTTCGCTTCCTCCCCTCAAGGAAATCTTCGGCTCACATGGGGCTTCCGATATAACGCACCGACTTCCTCTTTATTATCGACTTCATATTTATTTTATATATATATATATATATACACACACGACACAATCTACTAAACATTTTTCTAGGCACATATTTTGCATGAGAATTTCTTGATGCGTGCGCATCTAATCCAAGTAAAGAAAAATAATCTCTGCATTACAGAAATTATTGGGTTGGGGGAATATACTATATATATTACACATATTTGACACACTGCAAAAAAAGTCAGTTAAAAAAAAAAGAAATAATTTCATTTCATATATATCTCATTGCAAAACTTTCGTTACAAAGATAAAAATTCAAAAAATAAATTAACCGTAATAATTTTTTTAACAAAAAAACGAATTTCAATGCATCTCATTGATTTTTTATTGTCGCTGTTTGACCGTGATAAATAGTTAATGCGTTGCATATAAAACAAAATTTGGTTACAAAATAAGGTAAGTTAGGATATTTCGTTGCAATCTAACCTATAAAAAAGGTATGCATAGAAAATTTTCATTATCTTTCTATTCCTATGTATTATCTTTTTTTTTAAAAAAAAAAAGAAGATGTATTTAGGAAACAAAATGTTCATTTCATTTTATTTGTTATAATGATCCACATCAATATATTAATGATGTTTTTATTAACCCTTCAATCTCTTGCATATGTCGATACATTAATTTTGTTTCTATTTATTATTTATTTTATGTTAATATATACTTTCAAACTTTTATAATTCTATTTTATTTTTTTTTACTTGCAATGCAATATTTTGTAGAAAAACCGTTTGTAACTATTTTTTGTCGCAATTTTTTAAAATTGTAACAATTTACAATGAAAAAATTGCAGCAGAGTGTTTTTTTCAACAAAATCTGGATTTTTGCAATGGCAGATTTGTATTTTTGTAGCGTATATATATATGAAATAAAAGATTTAAAACATCTAATAATTTCACACAAGAAGAAATAAAGAGTAATTTAGTTACTGGTACGCTGATTGATAAGAAAAATTTAAAATGTGAGCTAACCAAAATTAAATCAAATAATGCTTATATATATGGGACAAGGAGCATATCTACATATGTTAGTACTTCGCGTATCTAACCAATTTTTCAAAGAATTGTCGGTCCATGAAGTTTCATATCTTCATCGTCGTTTGGTTCATAGTGCTCGAATTCGGATCCCAAAAAATCATACATTAAATACATATATCCGATTTTTTAAATAAAAAAATGCACTCTATAGATTTGTGGGTGTAATATTTAATGTAGATAATTTATAATTAAAAAAATAAATGATTCCAACTGCGGATGCATGCGTATATTAATAAATATTTAAACAGAAGAAAAGATAAAAAAAAAAAAGTAAGATGAAAAGAAAAGGAGACCGCAGGCTGGATTAGGCCGAGGCATGTGAGGCATTCACATGTGAAATTATGCAAATATGATTATCTAAAATGATTATCTTAATTAATTATTAATATATATATATATATATTATGTATGTATCCTTAGTTAGACCAATAATAGCATGTAAGTACTATATGCACCAAAGTTTTATTAGGGACATAATTATTGCTTCTGGCTTAAAACACGATCAGATTTTTTTTTTAATTCAAGTTTCAGAGCTGGAATCTGCAAGTCAACATCTAGGTCTCCGTAGTACATCACATGAACTATTGTCTCTGGGTTGAACGCATACATACATACATGCATAGATGCATGCATGCATGCATACATACATACATTCATGCATGCATGCATGAGATCATTATAAACCGGAGAACTAGGGAAGATAGAAAGTAAATATAATAGTGAATAAAACAGTGTGGATTAGAAACTAATAAGAATAATATTAGGAGAGAAAGGGAAGGGCCTATACAGAAGAAAGTGTCGGCATGTGGAGGCAATGGGATGGATCTCTCTCTCTCTCTCTCTCTATATATATATATATATATATATATAAAAGGTTAGAAAATTAGGGTTTAAAAGGAGGAGGAAGCACGCGTTGTAGCCTTTCTAACCTACACACACTTCTCCCTTTCTTTATGTGGACCCTCCTTTTTTCCCACTATTTTTCTTATACTCACACATATTATATTTATATATATGCATTTTAGTATATTGCATACACATCTGTGGAATACATATATCCTATAACTGACCTATGCATAACTTGGCAGAGAATCTTGTGCATATGTAATATAGTAAGTTACATGATTTTTAATTCGAATATATTTCCTTGCATCAGTTAAGAGAGAGAGAGAGGTGTATATATATATGATATTTTTGTTTATATATTTATTTTAGAAATCGCTTCTGTCCAAAGAAAAAGAGGAAAATGTTAAGAGGATGATGTAAAACCAAGAGAGTGTACGATTTTATATTAAGAATCACACAAATAGATTGAAACCGAAAGTGTATCTGTCGTATTCGTGAAGTCTCAGTGATATCCAAAACAAAGATTATACAATAAAAAAAAAGTAATAAAACCTTTTTAAGTTAACTACGGGCATCATTAAGATTAGGGTTTTTGGACCGAATGGACACGTGTCGTAATTCCATAGATGAAAACTGACCGCTTCTCATGTGGTTTCGCGAGTTCTCCACTTGTCACTCTTTTATTTGACTTGTCCTTGGATTTAGCTTATCTTCAATTACATATACTTTACTGCATTTTTTTACATTATTTAAATAAATAACTTATTCATTATGGTGAAAACGAAATATAAATAATTAATTAATGCCCTGTGAGTAAAAATCAGACACGGTGATTTAATCCTGTCTCCACCAAACCCAATATAACAAAATTCATGTCCTCATAATTCCGCCCAAATGTTGTGTCTCTTATTCTTAAAAATTCATTACAACTAGTAGTTACATTTACAATTTTAGTGATTGATTTGTATACAATATATAAAGATTTTTTTCCAAATGATCTTAGCATGTATATAATAAATATTCACGAGTGTTTTTCTGAAACTGAAAAAAAAACAATAAATGAAAAAAGGGGATCAAATTATATTTCTACTGTATCTAAAGAATCTTGGGTAACGAAATTTCAGGCGAGCTAATTAAGTGTGACATTTAATTATATTAGAAACATATATTACAATAACATATAAAATATAATCGGAAAACCATATTTATTTAAACAATTAGGTCGACAGCCTCACGCTCCAATGTACAATGAATCGGAATCCGAACATGACTTCCTAACCAATGAAAACGCCAACTACGAATACCGAATATATTGCTCTATATAAAAAAAAAAAGGTAGAGAATCTCTTGATGACCGAGCCAAAAGATAATCTTATGTGGATCCTAACAGATATATTTTTATTTTTATTTTTTAAACGTTATCTGGATTTCAAAGACAATATCTTATTTATATCCCACGTTGTTATAATATCCTTTATTATGCACTTCATGGATTTTACTTATCATGACACTTAATTGATGCCAATATCAATCAATTTTATCATTATATAATTTACGTTTTTTTAATCAATATCTGTTTTTTTTTTCAATCAGTGTTGCATTTGTATATAGCTTTATAACACACACACATATATATACATATTCATCTTGTTTAGATCGATCTAACAACTCTTCCGGATGCTAATTATATTTTAATCAATTCCATTATCTAGTTTTTTTTTGTTATATCCTCATTTTATAAGTAAAATGCTAATCATAAAAACAGTCAATCATCCATTTCATAATTTTGTGTTTTGGGGTAGTAATGTTTGTCCATTTTACAACATGATGGGCCAATTGGATCGTGAACTTATTGCGTCACCTTGTTCTGTAAAACGTTCTCTGTTCTTCAAGTTGTCCAAGATAATCCAGCGTCTCCAATCTCTTCCGAAAATATATCTTTAGTGTACTTACAAATATTGCTTGGGTAAATATGGACAGATTTTGAAACTGTTTCCACTCATAAATTAACAAAAAAGGAATAATAATACCACATATTTTTTAAACATGACTAGGGCAGTAAGATGAATTACACAAAAGAAAGATAGATACTCATGGGTCAAAATTTCACAAAATCTGCATTGCAGAACCAAAGCTTTTGGCCTCCGTTGAGTGAAATACTGAATTTAGACAGAACCAAAGCTCGAGTTTGTTGGATTTAGACAGAGCAGCAGGGCTAACAGAACGCAAAGATGCTCTTCTCCGAACTGATCATCCTCTTTGCAGATGTTGTCCCAACGATCCTCTCCAGCTGCAATATGCATACCATCAACCAAACAACAAATAATCAAGAGAGAGAGAGAGAGAGTTCTGAGTCGACAGAGAGAACCCATAATTAGTGAGTATGAACCATGGAAAGATCAAGGAGAGGAGGATTACCCGGAGTAGATCAAACCGAGAAAAGAGAGCTGTAGACACCATGTCATGCGATGATCCTTCCAGCATATTCACAATCTGCATTAGTTTCAATCAAAAAATACAGAGAGATTAGATTCCGATCCATTCACAGCTGTGGCACAATCTGAGTGTCGAAGCTATTTAAGAGTTTCTTACCTCGGGGTAGAATTCCTTCCGTTCCGGGAGGGAGTAGATGATTAGGTTCTTAATTCCACGGATCTGTTAACCCCAAGTTAAACAGAAAACAATCTTAGCAATTATGAACCAAATGCACAATTCTTAATGGATTCCTCAACAAAGCATTTTTTTTTTATCCCAAGTGTTTTAATCTTGGAGACCAACTGCAAGCTAGAGCCAGGTCTTTCTCAGGAAGATCAAATCAAAGACTAAAAATTTAACCTTGTATCTCCTATAAAAGTATGCTCTCTCCGTGTAAAGCATCATCTTCCGCTTGCCCTCGAAAAACCAAACACGTGCACGCGATATATCCGGAGCTTTTGTATAGCTGGAAAGAGAGAGATGAAGCTCATTACGGTTTAATGAAAAAAATGTCCAAATCATAAATAACGAAAGAGCGACACTTATGCAGGAAAACGTTCTCACTCTCCGAGTAGACAGAAAGATGCATTCTGCGACTTCAGAAAGTTCCTCAGCCTGACAAACTCGAAGTAAGAATGGATAAAGATCATGATTCCTCCCTGCAAAATAGAATTTGTAATATGAACAACAATCCCCAGAAATTACATTATGAAAAAGGCTTCTTAAATCTAACCAACTCCGCCACTATTCATCATGGCTTTCTACAGAAAGTAAGTCTAAATCAGTAAGCACAGCCTTTGCATTAGCGAGTGTACCTGAACCGAATCTTTTATCTTTGGGAAGATCTGCACAAAAAATAAAGATATATCAGCATTTTTGTGCCTAGCATTTGACTGATTTTGTGTTACTTGTCTCTTCCTTCAATGGGATGTTGCAGAGAAGAAAATTTGGAAAATATCATCCTTAACTAGTATTTGTTTCTCTCCATGAAAATATAGTAGGAAACAGGAAAGAATAGAATTCCAGAACTTGACCTTCTTAGTAAAATATTCGAAACGAGCATCATCTGCCTGTACTATAGAGTCTGCACTAAATCGTTCATAGATCTGGCAGCATGAGGAGAGAAAGGAAGGGTGAATTAGTTTTTGAGATCTTTGGTCACAAAATTTAATGCTTCTAAACAGGAATGC